TTCCGGTTAAGACTTAATGCTCCCCCTCACCCCCCCGCGTTGGAATTTCGAAAAATCCTTTCTTAGTGTGCGTTTCCATGACGTACCCTAACTGTGTACCAAATTTCACCTCTTTAGGTTAAGCGGTTTGCTCTGGGCGATGATGAATCAGTGAATGAATGAGTGAGTCAGTCAGGACAAGCAATTTTATATATTTAGATATATTAATAATATAGGCGCATCCTTGAACTATGAGCTAATCTTTACAACCTGTGTCATTGATACACAAAGCACTTGGACCACACTTGTATTATACACGTGGATGAAATATTAAAAAATAATAATAATAATAATAAATATTGATTTAAAATATCATCAAAATACATTTTGATTATCAGAGATAAAACTTCCTTATAGGTTAAAATTAAATAATAAAGAAAATAATTTAAATATGACCTATTGAACCCAACAAAAATCGAAGCCGGAAATAATATTCAAATTACTGGAGAGTGATTTATATCATAACATTTCCTTACTTGACATATATCGAAATAAGTAATAATAATAATAAATAATAATAATAGCTATTTAGAATAATTAACATTAATATTTCAGAAAAATCCATTATATTTGGATTAATATATGACGATTTTAATTTAATTTTTATTTTTATTATAAATGGGTAAAGGCTTTATAAGAACTAAGATTACAAATCTCCAAAGAACATGACAAATTAACCAGCAACGAGTTGCTCAACTTTTCCGGCAACGTTTGGTGGCGCCATCTGCTATCATATTTTATTTTTAAAAACTTTTTATATTTTTAACTATTATAAAATGGCTAAAAGCTTAATTTTGAGGATAGGGAAGGATTTTATAAAACATTGTAAATGCTAATAACGAATAAAATCGTCATTAAATCCGATCCTACTAGAGATACATACTATCCCCATTATTTCTCCACCTCCTCGATTTTTAACCACCAAAATTTAATATTATCAATCTCCGTAATACGTAAACTTTCCCGTAAAATTTCAGAAATTTTCGACGAAAAGCACGGGAGTTATTAAGCTTCAAAGATGATAAACAAAATCGTGCCCTCCACACACATCCACATACATACACATACTAACATCAATACATACAGAAATTACCCCCGATTTTTTTGCGTTTCTCGACATTTTAAGATATCCTAAGTTTAAAAAATGTAAAAAATCTTGGGGTGAGGCAATACTTTCCCTCTGTTATATGTAACAGAGGGAAAGTAATACAAGTTAAATTGAAAAGGTTACTAAAAAGACCTTATCTTGAACTTACAATGAAGGCGAAGCGCGACATATCCGAGACAGACAGACCGTGAAAAATTCCTAAGATTTTCCGCACGTATTCGATTCCATATCCAATTGTTGTCTCAGTCATTCGGCTATCTTTGAATAACTTATCTGTAGTTTAATACAACTTAAAAGTGAACTTACAAAACTCGTAAATTACGATGTTTTCAAAGTTCAAGTTCTTGTTTTTCTTTAATTATACAAATATTCAAAGGTTAACAGAGTTTGCTTATAAACAGTCAGTTATTTCTTTAAACATTCTGAGTATATATATGAACCGTAGTGTCTGGGAATTCACTGAAATATATCGGTTTAATTTCCACTTTGTGAAGAATGTGTTCGTTTACTGCAGTGGCTGAGTAACTTTCAGCATAAAATATATATATATTATTTTATGCTGATAGCTACTCAGCTGATATAACTTATTTTTTATAAATTTCTTCTGTTTCTAAACTTTTTCTGTTCCCTAACTAAATATTTAACTTGTTTTTATAGGCATATAGCTACATTAGGAATATCAATATTATATACAGCTCCTTATATTGTAATGTGTTGTATGCGGTATGAACTTCCTTTAATGCTCGAGTTCCAAATAGGTAGACTTTTAATACTTTGATATCAAATAATATATTCTCAATTGTGTATAAATGATCACGGATATTGTGAAATATTTAAAAATATATATAACAAAATGAAATTTCAGTAACGAAATTCCAAAAGCTTTTATTTCTACATTAAAAAAATTAAATTACTCTATTTGTATAATTATTGTAAGTTGACAAGATCTACAGCTATTATAATTTTATTAAATGTATATAGACTATTCGAACTCAATTTTGTCCAGGAATGCAAATTTAGTAGAGAACTTTTAAGTTATAATTTTCTTCTATTGTTTTATTGTCTACTTATATAGTAAAATATACACAGTAAATTGTAGGTATAATACGAGCATTTATTTATTGTGACATCGTCACAATTCCGGGCTGCAATTTTTAATTTATTTCATTTAACATATATGCACTCCATCTCAAATTATTAGTGACTTGACTCTGTACATCATACTTTTCCTTTAACAATATAGTCTTGCAGGTCATCTATTAACTGCTTTCAGGGGAGAATTTTGAATTGAAATATCATGACTTCCGATTTGCATCGGAAGTTTGTATATAATTAATTGGGACCTCCTGTCCCTAAGGTTTCTATATCTAATTTTTTTTCTAACGAGATTAAGGAAAGATACGACAGTGAAAATTTATATGTCTACAATTTTTTTAAATTGCAACCCAACTAAAAGCTGTAGCACCAAGTCCTGTAGCTTTTAGTGACTTATATAATTCCTGGTGTTGCTAGACCAGATTCTGTCCTGGGACAGTAAGCCATTTAACGTCTCTGTGATCCGATACTAATGGAAAGACCTGATCATAACAGATTAGATTAATATTACTGACGGAGAAAAATGAAGCTCAGAACTCCATGAAAATTTATTGGCGATTTGATTACTTACGGTAAAGATATTAATGTCTGTAATTATAATCGATTCAATACAAGTTTTTTTTTACAGGATTTTGATGTAAAACAATCCTTTTAAATCCATTAGGGTTCGTTAGGCCCACAATGGGGTTAGTACTATTAAGAATAATTGTGACAGATATTTGACAGTATTGAACACAATTATTCCGTTTACTTACGCCTTTTTCACAGAGACAGGATATTTGGTATCGAAAATTATTTGAAATATAAATACATTTCCATTAACAACCCACCTGATTCTTTTCAAAATCCTACCGTTTTCGTCGTTCCTTTTACTCATAACTGTTTCGTTCATTTCGACAATCTTTCCAGGACCACTAATTTTCATTTGGGATAAATTATACAAGGAAATCATCGTATGAAGTTTGCCCAATCAACAACTGTATTACTCACGCTCATAGCCAAACATATCGTTCTCAACGTACACTCTATGCAAATTATATGCCAAATGATAGAAAAAAATAATTCCCCATGAAATTTTCCAGAATTTACCTTTAAAAGTTCCGTCAGTTACGTTTTTGACATCGAAATAAAATTAAATCATGATCCTTTCTATAAATTAATTTACGACGACCACCGCATTTCATACAAAATGTAGGCTATCAACAGGTTGTAAATTGAACTTTATGGCAAACTTAACATCTAATAATATTCCATTGTCAACATCTATTTCAGAAAATCTGATTATAAATAATGGAAAAAAATCCTTTAAAGTCCACTTTTTCCATAAAAACCGTTGACCTTTAAAGTAATTCTGACATTACAACAATAAAAAAGAAAATAAGCAATTAAAATGCCAAAACTTATCAGTGTTCAATACTGTCAAATATCTGCTACAATTATTCTTAATTATTGATTCGATAGTAAACTTTTCTTTATATTTGCTCTTGTGTAAATATATCTATATTCTTAGGGGAGGGGAAAACATCACATAAGTTACATACAGGCTAGGTATAATTGGATATGGAACTATATGCCTATACAATTATGAAGTAATAATCATTGCATAAATTCTCATTTATCTAATTACAATTTTAAAAATATTAATAAAGGGAGACGAAGAATAGCGTAGTATATCCGAACTACACAGTATAAACTGAGTTTTCGAGAATGAATTTAGCATTAATTATAATTATTTGTATTGAAATAATACTGATAGATACGGTTTATAGTTTAGAATCGTGCACAAATTGTGCGAAACGGAAATATCAGTTGGAAAATTCTCTTTCCCAACAAGAATTGAGAAGACTACGAATTGATTTAGTTAAGAGACATATTCTAAGTGAATTAGGATTAAAAAATCCACCTAAAGTAAATTTACCGGCAGTTCCTAACATTGTTAATGATATTATACAAGTAAATCAGCAGAAAAAAACGAAACTATTTCGCAGAGCCAGTCAGAATGACCAAGAACTGAAGAGAAATACTGTATATTTTCCTATAAAAAGTAAGTATTTATCTGTTTGTGATCAATAATTTTGATATGAATTGTTAATTCGAAAATATCAGGTGTACTTGTATATTTATTATACCATCCCATTTAATAATAATAATAAAAATTTTTTATTTATTTATTTAGTCATACATTCTACCAGTTCTGGAAATTTAAGTCCGTCAGTTCAACTGTACTTTAATATTAACGAAACGAAATTTTCAAGAATATCGGTAATCTCTGCTCATTTGTGGATGTATCTCGACCCTCAGGAACCTATCAATCTGAAATATATTATATATAAAATACAACCTTTAACAAACGGAGAAAGCTATCCTCAAACTGTGTTAGTAGATTATGTCAGCTTAGTTTACGCAGGATGGTACGAAAATAATATTACTCGTGTATTTTCCGACTGGTCGAATCGTCAGTATATTCTCGAAATCAGTTGTGAGTTTTGCAACTATATACCTATTAAAACTGAAGAAGATAAACGTACTTTTATCAGTATGGACACTAGAGTAAAGAAACGTGTAAAAAGGCAGAAACGGGATACTTCATATTGTACTGAAAGTTCGACATATTGCTGCCGTGAAAAATTTATAATTTCTTTTGCCGAGATTGGTTGGGACGATTGGGTATTGCAACCGGAGTTTTACGAAGCTAATTATTGCAGAGGTTTGTGTACTGATACTCGCGACGTCCCAAGTTACTTCATTACCGATGAAACGAATGCATACATAAAAAACATGAAAGTATATCATATAGTAAGCAATATGACTATGTGTTGTGCTCCTGCTCAATTATCCTCGCAAAGCTTGCTAATCTTACACGAAAACAATACAGTTGCAGTCAATGATATACCCAACATGACTGTAGATACTTGTGACTGTAGTTAATATAGAAAATAATTTTTATCTTGTTATACTAAAAAATATACCAGAAAATTTTATAAAGATATAAAATTACATGAAATTTATTTTTACTTACTTTCATAAAAGATGTATCCAGATAAGTAAAGTAATTTTTTTCATAGAATATTTGTCTTTGTAGGAAACACCATAAACATTATTCAACTACTAAGAATAGAAGAAAAAATAAAAATTAAATTCACTATTCAAATTCCGAATAAATCGGTAAATTCAATGTATTAATACAATACAGAATTAATATTTTTCTACTCGAAAACTTCTGATTTGCTTCAAAAGTCAGGTTATTTTAATTGAAATCTTCCCCTCTGAAATCAGTTAATAGATGACCTGTTTATCCTCTGTATTAAAATTACATAAATAATACATATAAAATTATATAATTATTTAAAATTATGTTATCTTTTCCATTCGAAATATATCGTATTTTATTAATTTAAACTTATAAACACTTAGTGACAATGACATATGGAAAACAGTGACACACAAAATACCGCCCAAACCATATACAACCTGACTTGTGCTGTCATTATGGAACGTTTGCTATGTCACTATATGGCCAACCTAGTTAGAGATTATGCTGACAAGATGGAAAAATATGTTTAATATAAATGCAAAAACCGTATCTATGAGAAATGACGACTTAGATAAGAATGACACACAACCCTTCGGGTAACAGTGACACGGTATTTACTGTCACGCTATTCCAGAAGGTAATTAAGAGGGCAGATCTATTCGTAGTGTAGCAGCATAAAAACTTACCACTCAAAATTCTTTACTAATATGTAAAAAAATCCAGCAATGAGTTGCTTAACTTTCCCGGCAACATTTAAGAATACACATGGTGCCATCTGTTACGTCATTTTATTTAAAAACTTTTATATTTTTAATTATTATAAAATAACAAGAAGCTTAATTTTGAGAGTATGATAGATATATCTACTTAATGACATTTGGTTTACAGTCATATTATCATGGTAATGCATGGTAAGAAATAGGGCCCGACAACCGGATATACTGCTAATGAAAAATTCCTGAAATTGTTTGTATAGTAAGGATGACACTTTAATTGCCCTGTCCATTAAATAATTTAATTGTTTTATAATTAAATTTCAATCATCATCCATGATTTTCCTATTGAGATTTGGCATCCATGAAATTTTTATCCTAATTATTAAGGTATAAGTTGAATTTATAGGACTTATTCTATTATAATAAATTCCATTGTAAATATATTCCATAATATATCTTTGATAGAATGGCAGATCTATATCAATACATGATACAGTATATAAATTCTGTCATTCTATATTTATTCAACTCTTTATTGTTCTCATTTCTGTCATTTTATATATTTATAAACCTATATNATAGCGTTGATTAAATAAATTTGCAGTAAGATAAGCATACTCGCAATTTCTGAAATGAAGAGTTACTATTTCTATCCTTTCAGCAATTGTGTAAACCATAACGATAAATGTAGAAAATTCATAATAAACAAATAATAATCTTAAATTCCGATAGAATCATCAAGTGGTCAAGCTTAATGTGAACACTACAAAAAAGAACATCTAAAAACAGATAACACATTATCAGCCTTAATTTTATGATCTATTTTTTCCTTGCATATGTGGTCCAGCTTAAAAGGTTTTTTTATGTTTCTTAATATAAATGTTTGTTTAGTTAATAAAAAAAATGAATGAGTTTATAGAAATTTATGTCGTCTGTTTTAGCCAGAATCGCAAAAACTTTATTGCAGATGTCCTCCTTGGGAATAAAATCGCCCTGTCCGAGCGATTTGCTTGGACGAACACGATAACTCTGCCATTTCGTTTTCGTTGGCCCACCCTGTATAATAATACATATGACTAATAAAAGATGCAAAACTGAGTATGTGTTTTTTCCGTTTGTGGGGATTAAAGAAACCGTCTAATGTCGATTGCTTTTCTCTCTTCTTCAGGATTTTTCAGAATTTATTAGTAGTATTGTAATTGTAGAGATCCCCAAGCCTATTAACCTCAACCTGGTTTGGATGCCATTCTAAGACTGTTGTTCCGACATCCTCCCACATCTTCAAAAGATCTTTAATAGCTGAAATCGGCATCAATCCTCTTTTTCAGAAGAAAACATATCTCGCCGATCTTCAATGTTCTTTATTTCTCAAATGTGATTTTTGTTACTCCTTAAACTGCTTAAGTCTTCTCGATTATACTGTATCTTTCTTAGATAAGATTGAACTGCGGCCTACTGTAGACCTGTTCAAGTCATACTTCCCAACATCATCAGATATCATTTGCCCACCTTTGCTATTATACTCTCACCTTTCGAAAATAAAAACCGACGCAAAACTTAACGAGTGCCCGCCGGACAGTCTCGCGAATACTATAAAAGAATTGTTTGTCAGGAAAATAAAAGGCTAAAATTACAAGGGAGAGTTTCAAAGTTCGGAGGAATACTATCCGATCGGCATATACCGGATTGAGCGTAGATGCCGACACCGAAAACGTTCGAATTGTTGTCTGAAGACAAGGAAAGACCAATCGGTATTCATTATTTTACGTCTGTTCTACTTGTGTTCCGATCACCCACCGTATTTGTACTGTTGGATGTAGGCATTCTTTATCTACATACAAACATTTATACAGAAACCCGATGCTTTGCCTATAACCCCCCATTCTTTATCTACTACTATTATTAATGTACAGTATGTATTAGCTTAATAAAGAAATCTATTAGTCGACTTTCAAATTAATAAAATAATTGTAGTTTTATAAATCCTTTGTAACAGCAAATTAATAACTATTAAAAATATTACATAGAAAAATTAATTTTTAATATGCAACAAGATCATTTGTTGCATAATTCGTTGAAACTACTTTGCAGATAAAATGAGTGTTCTTGACATAGTAAATTACAGTGTATGCATGTATTTTGAGTCTTGCCGTCTTTATTTCCGATCAGTTTACGGGCCTGTAAATTGGCCGAAAACATTTATTGTGATTAAAGTTATTGCTGGAAAAGCACGAATGGTGTGTATGTTTTTTTTTTTATAAATTTTATCGTCAAATCTCGGGTTACTATAAAGAATTTTTTTTGAGTTGGCTACTTTTGGGCTACTTTTTATAAAATGTTTGGCTACCAACACTGAAAACATCTGGCAAGATGCTATACAGGCCCACCAGTGGCCAAACGGTTTCGTTCTCTGAACACTCGGTCATGAGTTTGCGCCTCGCCTGGACGGGCTAGCTACGTGGAGTTTTCCGGGTTTTCTCCACGTCTGTAGTGCCTGAATACTCTTAAAAGATCTCCAGGAAGGCATTATTCCCCGCGTAACGACCATCACACACATATACAACTATATCACATGATCAATTCGTCACACTTTACTACGAGACGATATAGCTTAGAACAGTGTTTCCCAACCTTTCTGGTGCTATGCCCTACCTAAGCCTTTCTAAAATTCTTATGATTCTCTAACATATACAGCGGCTATACGGTTAACTTAAACTATGGACGAGTCCATTTTCGTCATTAACAACTGCCCCCTTAACAATCCAATTGCTCCCCTCCCATGGGTTCCACGTTGAAAAACACTGGCTTAGAACTCACGTCCAACTAGTCGATACAAGACACGAATGCCATATGCTAGTCGTGTGTTAAAGACGTTTCTGTGTTTTCTACGCCCACAGCCAAAGGACAATTGTAACAAGCATTTAAGTGCTAAACATGGTATAGTACTAAGTTTTTGACCAAGGAAAAAACACTCTTTCCTTATGTTTCGTACAGTACATCTCATATTTTGTATTCTGCGATTTTTCCCTGTTTCTAGGACTGCGAGGGAAAAGAAACCAGACAAAAAAAGAACGATAAACATTTAAAAGGAAAATTCAAGAAGCTGATAAAACGATTGAAAACAAGAAAAAAAAAAACATACTTAATACGCAGATAACAGATCTTCCATTCAAGCTTTAGCTAAGCGAAAGGGGTGGAGTTGATGACTATATCCTGTAAATGCGAAGAAATAAGAAAATCATTATTCAAACATGAACGAGATGTTAACGAAATTTCTGCTAATATTTTTTATCGGTTATATCACACTTGATATCACCAATTTAATAGAATCATGCGAAAAATGTTCCAAACAAAAACAACTGATTGAAACTAAGTTTTCTGAAGAAGAATTGAGAAATATAAGAATCCAACTAATTAAACAGCAAATTCTGAAAATGTTAAAAATGTCAGGTCCTCCAAAAGTAAATAAATCATTAATACCTAAAATTATAATCGAAGATTTAATACTATCGAATCCTGATATATCAAATAACGATAGAAGTACGGATGATCAATATGAAAACATTCAGAATATTGTAATCCTTCCTGAAAATAGTAAGTATTTTTTTGTTATGTTTACTATATTTAAATATATATACTGTATATTTATTTTATTTGTCTGTCATGATATATTTGAAATAGGTCAAGAATATATTTAGGAATTAATCATTAGAACAATTATTTTGATTTTGTCCAAATATATTTGTAAATAAAGTTATCATTAAACTATTTTCTTGTTATTCTTTTCTCTAACCTTAATTCTAAAAAATTTCAAGATTAAATAAATAAGAATTAGCTTTATTAACTACTGATTTTTACTATAAACAGATATGAGTGTAATTTAATAATAATAATAATCATTATAAGAATGATTAACAAAACAGTTCTAAGTTCAAGTATTAATTTGCTAAAAGTTTCATTCGTAATTCTACTATATTTATATATAAGTAATTATATGAATAGTATTTTATAATTACGTACTTTTAATTAAATCATTAGTTTATATTATTTCTTATTCTCTCTTATGTGTTAAATCTATTCTGATTCAGCAAAAAACGATGTTTATTCATTGAAAATGCAAGTTAATCATTCAAAATCTTTATCATAATCATACATATAAAATCTAAAAATAAATCAAGGTTATATATATATCATTTATTATATTAAAATTTTTAATATTGTATTTTATTTTTTGCGTGTTTATTTGAATTATTTTAAAATATAAAAAAAGTATTACTATTGAATCTAATGAAAGTATTTTGATTTCAGTTTCAATCCATCATTGTCAGCAAAAAATACCTCTTTCAGCTTGTTTCAGTTTCAATTTTGAGAGAGCCAAAATTTCAAAAGAATCTATTATTTCTGCATATTTGTGGACATTTCGAAATAAACAAGAGCCTAATAATATTACATACAATATATACAATACTGATATTGATTTTTCAGAAAAGAAGAATAAGAAAGTGATGAAATATTATGTGAAAGAGATAAAACCAGGATGGTACAAAAGCGATATCACAGATATTTTACTATACTGTTCGAATTATCGTCAAATTTTCAAAATCGATTGTGATAAATGCAACAATATACCAATATCAATTGATCACGATAAACGACCTTTTCTCGTCATCAATATCGAAGAAAAGAGTACAAAAAGAGTGAAACGAAACATAGATTGCGTTAGTGATTCGATAACTTGCTGTAGAGAAAAATTATATGTATCTTTTCGCGAGATAAACTGGGATAATTGGATAATGCATCCATCTGGTTACATGGCAAATTACTGTAGAGGTAACTGTTTGATGGATGCCGGTCTCATGAGATATCATCATACAACGGTTAAAAGAGATTATTTATTAAAAATGAAACAGAGAAAAATAAATACTAATCTTTCTATGTGTTGTTCGCCTTCAAAATTATCTTCTATATCGATGGTATATTTAAATGAAAATGGTTTAATAATACACGAAAATATGCCTAATATGATTGTAGATACATGCGATTGTATATAAAGATTACAGCAAATTCAATTTTAATCTGTAAACATATCGTATTTAACAATAAATACTTTTTTACATATTAGCAAAAGGTAATAATTTGTAAAATATCTAAAAGGCACAACATGTAAACATTATTATAATATAAAATAATTCAGTTTAATAACGTTTACACATTAATTATATAATGAAATTACTGTACGCTAACTCAGCACATATTTTGTCATAACACTTAAAGTACGTTTAAGCTTATCTTGTTATTCTAATATAGAATATAACCTTGTTTATAATTATAATTTATCATATTAAATAAACACGAATAAAATCTGTTTATAAAATAGCGTATAAATGATGAATATGCAAAGTCAGGGTGACGTCAATTCTACTCACAGCTTAAGACAATTAGTTGCACTGATCTTAGTTTACAGTTGATCCCTCTATAACACTGTTGATTATTCCGTTTTATATGAATTCCATGTTGTACGAGTCACTTAGATTTTACAAATACGTGTGCCGGACTGAAAATGGCTCAC